ACGTCGAATGGCACTTCACCTACAACTTCCAACGGAGGGAGCTCTAGGCCACTAGACGTGTGTACTGGGCCGTTCTGCTGCCAACGACTCCGCGAAACCTGTTGAAGCTTACGTGTTAGCGCAAGCGCGTACACTCGGAGAAGGGCTTTGGACCCTAGGGCGCAGGACGCCTGAGTGACACAAATCTGCAACATGCAATCCAAAGTAAGACTGCGAGACTGTACAACCGAGCCCAACCGACTTAGCAGGTGGGCATGACACATTCCAAGTGTCTTCGCAGCTACAAAAAGATGGGACACTAACGTTTAGCGAAAAACTGTCGTCCAGTCCTGACCCAGAATGCCTTCGACATGACTGGTCTCCCGTACGCCGCCGGCTACCGTGTTGGAGCTCCCGGCTCTGTCCCTGTTGTTGCCTCCAGCAACAATGCTAAAGCCTCCGGCTGTGCCTCCGGCACCACACACTTCAGCGCTCCCGGCACTGTCGACACCCCCGGTGCCACTGGCACCCCGGCCCGAATTTGCACTAATCACGCAAAGCTTCCGCATAGTAGGCATGCGATGCTGGCCTTGCGACCAGGCTTTAGCCTGTGGGCACTCTCCCGTTGCCACACTAGGTACCGACGTGGTCTCAGAAGAGGCTTGCAAGGCACACATCCCTGTTTGACCAGGGTTCGTTCCAGCCAGCACCGCTGCATTCGGCCCACTCGTGAACACGGGTGAGACAGGCAGTTGTGAAACGGGCAAGTTGGAAACATAAGACTGGAACTCCGTAATCTCATCCTGTTGGCATTCGGCCAGTCGGCTGTCCAACATAACTTCATCTTCCTCAGGCTCAAGCTCGATGCCACCGGTTGTGACAGTGATGCTGTTGATACCGCCGTCTGCCGGCCATTCGTCACTGTCAGCCCCTACATACGTGCCGTTTGCATCGCACCAACTACCGTCTTCATCAATCCAGTAGGTCAGCATACCGTCCGATGACATACTCGAGATGTGTTTCCCCTTTCCCTTGCCTTTGATGTGGACGTATTGCCCCTTGGCCTTTCCTTTTCCCTTCCCCTTGCCTTTAAAGGTAGGGCGCTGGCCACGCTCCATCCGTAACTGTTGCCGGTGGTGCTTGCTGAAGTGATTGTTCCCATCGCAAGGGTGCTTTCCGAAACATTTCCACTTACACAGCATTTTACTGCCCGGAATCAACTTGTAGCCAGGGTCATTGCGGGCAACGTTGCCCGGGCATTGCTTCACATCAGCATGCGTACCCTGACACTCCGGGCACTTTGTTGCGGTAGTGGCTGGAGGGGAAGCACTCGGAAAGCTAGAACTGGCCAAACGCCGGGCATTACCAGTGTTGCTAACTCCAAATGGTCGAGTGAGAGCCCCAATGTAATGAAATGACCCATCGACAGCGGCTACATACACATCCTGTGCGGGGGCGGATTGCTGGAATCCGTCAGCAGGCGCTGATGGCAGGCTCGTTGATGCGACATAGTGTGGTTGCGCTAACTGCGGTTGGAGCGTCTGAATCTTCGACCCTGCGGCTACTGGCGGATTCATGGCCACATTCTGTGACCGTCGCTGGGATTCGATCCAACGATACAAGCACTGAATGACCTCGTGAGGTGTTGTCGGCTGGTCATACACTGCTAGGCTACGGATGAAGCCGAACACCGATTTGCTAATCTTCTGCTCCATCATGACATTGAGATCACGCTGCTGCCCTGCCCTCACTAGTGCTTGAAGCTGCGATTGCAGATCAGGCCGCAATGCTCTAACATCCGCATCCGCCAATAGAGTTTCACCGTCTGGGCGCAAGCCAGCCCGAACCAAAGCCAACTCACCCACCCTGTAGGCTCGGATGAATGCTTCAGCACCCGCCACATCATCAGTGAGCATTTTGGCTTCATGCATGATGGAGTCCACGATTACGGTACGCCTTTCTGGAGTCAGGTTAACCGACGCTTCCAGTTGGTTCCACACCATACTGTACAGCTGACCATATACGAGATGCCGTGGACCCTGTGCCCCTGGCATGGCAGGAAACTGTGCTGCTTGTTCAAGCAGCTGACGCCCCGCACCCTGAGCCAAGTAAAGTTCGATGACATCCTTGGCGGGCGCCCTAGCCACCGAGCGAAGCTGCTTAAAAGCGACTTCGCCGCCCTTTACCGCACCGAGCTCTTCCACATCGATCTCGAACTCAATCCGCTCTGTCATGCATGCCCGGTCAGTCAGACACTCTACCGCTCGAACTTCCTTCTTCGGTCGGAGTTGACCGAAACCCCGCTGGGCTTCATTCACTTGCAATGAATGAAGCTGCGCTTGCACAAGTTGCTGCACAGACTGCTGTGTGAGCATACTGGTTTGCCATAGTGCTGTCAATGGATCGTTGCTCGCACTCGCACCCATAGCCTGTAGTCCCGGTGGGGCTTGGGTAGACTGCGGCGTCGTCGCAGACGACTGCTGACTAACCCACGGGGAATATGCGGGATGCGCCGTCGGCGCATGTTGTGACGGTTGCGCCATGAATGGATGGCAACGCTTCACAACGGGTTTCAATTTCCCAGGTCAACAGCCCCCAGAATTTGTAACCGCAAGCACATACGACACAGTACTTTCGACTCGGAGCGCTAGCATCCGTCTCATCTTGAGCCATGCACGTGAAACATACTTTAAGAATGATTTGTATACGACTCATAGCGGCACATGGTCTTTCAAGACATGTCGTGGTCTGCTACACTTAGGGCCTAGAGTTCAAGATTAAGGGCTTAGGGTTTTAGGGGTTCAGGGGTTAAGGTTTACACTCTCACAACTCGGACAAGCCCGGCGAGCATCCATGTGTGCGCAGTCGGTGTGAAAAAAGTGGAACGCAGGATGCCTGCCACTATGCAGAGGACCGCGACAAGGCCATAAAGATAGTTAGGGGGGCGAGCCCCGAAACTGCATGTAGCACAGCCGGCACCCTGGTTTTTGCTCGACTAGGGGTTAAGGTTTAGGGTTTAGGGTCTTAGGGTTTTAGGGCTTTAGGGGTCTAGGGTTTTAGGGGTTTAAGGGTTTGGGGGTTAAGGTTTAGGGTTTAGGTTTTAGAGTTTAAGGTTTCGTGTTTAGGTCATAGGGCTTAAGGTTTCGGATTGGCTAAAGCCGGCGGATGGCAAGGGCGGTTAGCCTTGAGAAACCTCCTGAGAGCCCCCACCACAGGCTCACAGAGACCCCCCCCCTCACAGCCACCAGAGAAACGCCGAGAGGCCCCAAAAACCCCAGAGCCCAACAGCCTCCAGCCATTTTCAAAGCTTCAGAGCCTCATGACCTAGATGCCAAGCCCCCAAGCCTCCAGAGGCCCACCACAAGCCCAACAGGCTGCCAGAGCGATGGTCTGCAGTCCAGTCCCACACTGAAACTGTGGCGCAGGGCATGGGGCAACATTGACAATATGGTCCAAACACGCAGACTGCCCGCAAGTGCATGAACCAGCATGCAAGGCAGACGGCACGTGGTTGCATTAGCATTGGCTCAATCCGCCGGCAACGCTATTTAATCAAAGTTTCAACGTTGCGATGTAGGCGAAGGCAGCCTAGCACGAAGAGCAGCGATGTCACCGCGAACACTGGCGCAAGGCGGGCAATCCCGAGAGACATGCGACACAGTCGTAAAGTCGAGGCCACAAGTGGTGCGGCCACGGTTCCCGTGACGCAAGTCGCAGTCACACGTATGCAAACCCCCAGTAAGAAGCAAGCGGCGAAGAAGCCCCAGCCCCAGCTGCCCTCAAGCATCAATCGAGGCACAAACAGGAGTAGGAGTTCTGCCTACGTAGACGGCGGCATGCAAAGCATCGGCACGCAACAGAGTACGGGGGCAGTCTACGCCAACCTCAATGCCACGAAGGTAAGTAAGGTCACGACAAACATCTTTCTAACGTGAAACCCGCCAGGCCTCGTGAAGGCCACATCATGGAGGATGCGACGCAAACGAACGGCAGGCCCGTGAGAGGACACACCGCTGGCGTAAACAAGGCGGATGCAAAACGCCGGGTGCAGAATGCGTGCCGAAGCGCAGAATGACTTGGTAAGCAAAGGCAAAACTAGGGTTGATGGCAGGAGGGGCAAAGAGAGTCACCCCCAAGCCTGGCGAGGCGAGCCAATGCTCACGCTGCCAAACAAAACAAGATGCAAGGACCTCGGCAGTTCCTAGGACCAAAAACCCGGGTGAGCACGCTGACCCCACATTTGGCAGGGCAAGACACAGGAAGCAGCCGAGCCACAGTGCAAAACGAGCCACCAATGGCCGCGACGAAACAAGACTCAGCGCGAGCGTGGCATAACTCTAAGAATACTCTCCGGCGTAGGCCCAGAGGCTAACATCGACAGATCATCGGCAAACGAGCGAGCAGTAGCCACAGGCACAGTGGCACGCAAATGCTCAAACCATGTGGTCAGCAGAGAATTCAGGCAAACAGGACTGAGAGGGGAACAGTCGACCCTAACTTTCAAAGTGGAGCTTCTGGGTAACATGGTAGAACCCAACATTCCAGCACCTTATACCCTACAACGTCAACACACCCCCAGACCCCTGGAGGATCTGAAAAGTAGAACCTGGCAACTCTATATACTCTACTCCCATGGCCTCGATTATGGAATCCTAAGGGGGATCTGCTTTCTGGATCCTAACCCTAAACCCTAAACCTTAAACCCTAAACCTGATCCTTCCAGGGGTCTGGGGAACCTCCAAGCTCACAAGCGCAACTGAAACGAAACTGAAGCCTTCACCGGTGTACAGGTTTTGAAGCTACGAGCTCCAAAGTTAGCGAGAGGTTTTTTAGGGTTTAGGGGTTTAGTCCCTTGCGAACCCTAAAGCCCTCTTTTGTTTAGGGTCCTTATATAGAATTATATAGGGGTTCATCATGGTTAATCATAAAAAAGAGAGTTCTGGGTTCCTAAGGTCTCAATCAGGGCGCCAATTCATCGTCAAACACCTGAACGCTATCTCTGGATATTATTGTCCAGGTGCGCAGCTCATAATACAAAGCAGGTTGAAGAGCAAGGAGGCCATACCTCAGTTCCCACCCAGACGATGCATCGGGTTCTGCAAGGCCTATTTGGTGTTGGAGCCACCTGCTGCAGGCCCACAGCGAAGGAATCTCAGAGGGCACTCAGGGGATTTAGTTAGTTGGGTTCCTAAGTGCGGTGGTGAGGCCCTTCTATGTAGGTCCACATGTTGTCCTACTTGCCTAATCCTTCAATCCCCAAACTAAGAGGGGTTGACTTTGATACCTAGTCTACGAACTTCGCCATCACTGGCTGATGTCGCCAATGATTGCACTCCTGCACTCCAGCGTCTGAACTGGCCCAATGAAATGTAGGAACCTACATAATGAAATTAGGGAATCCGGGCACCAAAGACTATGAATATATTAGGAGCCCTAAGTGAAAACATTAACAGTTATTTCGGCCCCTGTATTAAGGTTTTGGTTTGGTTTATTTCGGGCTGGCTAGTTGAGATCAGGGTCGTACGAGAATTAATTACCCCGACCTTTTGGTGAGGAGGGTTGGAAGTTCGCTAATTTTTCCTAGCCTCTCCAAGTCAAACCGCCTTAAACTCTTAACCCGGAAACCCCGAAACCCCAAAGCACCGAAGACAATCCGCTTTTCTAAGGGTTGTCATAACTATAATCCCTATATAACTCTATATATAAACCCTAAAAAAAGGTTTTGGGTGTTCAAGGTGCACCCCGACTATCCAAACCCTAAGCCCTTAACCCTAAACTGTGTCAACGGAGGACTGCCGGGCAGCATAGGGATCCGTAGAACTGCTGCAGCTGGATCTTGTCCGCGGGTTCAAGCGTAAAGCCTCGCGGCAAGGCCATTTAGGGTGCAGGCTTTAGGGTTTATGGTTACTTACGGCTCAGGGTTGGTAGTTTAGGGCTTCGGGCTTGTGATTGGGGTCTCGGGTTTAGGCTGTAGGGTTTATAAACGTTTCCGAGTTCAGGGTTCAAGGTTCAGGATTCAGGGTTCAAGGTTCAGGGTTCATCCGGACTTGCGCGGTTAAGGGTGTAGGGATTTTTTTTTGCACGACCCTTTTTCCGTCCTAAGGTTTAGGGTTCAGGATGGAGGGTTGAAGGTTGAGGGTTTAGGCTTGTGTGGGTTACGGTCTGTTTGCGAAGAGTTTCTTGAACTTGTTCGAAGACTATTCAGTGACACTAGGCCAGGGCTGCTACTTGAAGTTTCAGGCAATATAGTTTTCATGAGTCTTGAAACGTAGGCCAAAAGCCCCCGAACCCTACCCTAAACCTCTCTAACACCTAGAATAATATTTTAAACGGTACGCACTTCGTGGTTTAAGGCCTGTTTTCTCTCACGCAAGAGAACGGGCCTTATGCCCACGAGGTGCATAAGGCTTATGGAAATTATGTATTTTCCAAATGTTGTGGGACCCAAGGGGCGGGTGGGTACATGACGATCTAGTAACAAAAACTTAACTAGAGAATGCTTGAATTTGAGCTGCTGAACCCTAAGCCCTAGACCCTGCATAAACCATAGACCCTAAACCTCAAACCCTAAACCCGAAACCTTACACCCTGCAACTACCGGGAAGATCCCGTATTGGTAAGTGTGCGACTTTCAATTCCACTCGCAGCTCACAAAGAATTTGCGAAGACGGCCCCAAAGTATGATGTTTGCACTCATCATGGGTTCCCCTGCTAGCCCCCAACACTTCCCCTCAAGGTTCCCCTTAGCCTCAATTAGGCTTAAGTAGCTGTACATAGCCTTAATTGGGGTAAAACTTGGGGGAAGGTTTTGGGGGTAGCAGGGGAACTTTTGGATTTGCGGGATCCCAGATTTCCCCTGAAAGCTACAACCCCCTAGGCCCCTACTTGGGCTTGTTTGACGGTAATTCAAGGTTTAGGGTTAGGGCTAAATTCAAGGGTAACCTTCGAGCCGGGAGTTTGGGTTTGGGTTTAGGGTTTAGGTTGGAGTTTCTAGGGCTTGGGGGTTAAAGTTTGAAGCAACCTGAAGCCTGCCTGGAACACCCAGGCCCAGAACCCTCTGAGAGCCCGATGTGGGCTCCTGTGACGGAACCTAAACACAAACATCCCAATCCCGGCACAACCCCAAATCCTACACCCTCAAGCCTCAATTCTTAGCCCTCAACCCCTAGACCGAAAGACCCTAAATCTTGAGTCCTAAACCAAATCTTAAAACTCTTGGCTCGATATCGTCAATCTGCAGCATAGCCATGACCATGGTCAAAATCAGCCTTCTCTTTGTGCGAGGGAGGGGGAAAGTTTGTGTTAAGGGCGTAAGGGTTTTTGTTGTCTCCGGTTGCAGGTTTTTCAATGTGTCGTGTAGGGTGTCATGTTCGGGTTAACTGTTTGGGGTTTAAGGTTTAGGGTTTGAGTTTAGGATCAAGGGTGTCTGACTGCCTTGTTCATTGTGGTGCCCATGAGCCTGGAAGTTATGGTTTATCTTTCCCACCCTTTCCAGTGCTGGAGGCAAGCCGCCCCTGCACGGCGGGGCAGGTTTCTTGGGGTGGTTTGCCTCCTGCACTGGAAAGGGTGTGGACTCCGATGCTAAACTGACGCTACCCAGCTGTCGTCTGCCAAGCTGGCAGCTAATCCAAAGCCTTGCTCAAAATCCATTTTTAAGGTTTTGGGTTCAGGGGTCAGCATTTCGGGTTTAGGGACTGTTTAAGATGTAAAGTTCAGGGACAAGTTTTTGGGGTTAGGGTTTAGGGTTTTGCAGGTTTAGGGCTTTAGGGTCGAAGGTTTAGGGCTTATGGTTTCGGGTTTAGGGGTCCTGTGGTAGGCAAGCCACGCGGAAGTCACGCCGACATTGGTCCACACGTTCCTTACAATCGTCACACGGCGGATGCAAGCAATCCTACACGATTTCCATAAACCGTAAACCCTACCCAAAACCTTAAACTCTTAACCCTACACCCCAAACCTAAACCCAAAATCCTTACTCCAAACCCTAAACCGTACAACCCTAAACCTTCGACCACCCTAAACCCTAAATCCTAAAGGTGATACCAGCCCCTCCCAATCACAGAAACTAACAAGGCCAGAGGGTGGATCACGGAGGTAGCCTGCGAAAATCGCCGGCGCGCCGGCTGAGCCAAGCAATCTTTACAGTAAGCATGTTCTGAATGGGTTTCAGGGTTTGGGTGCCTCTTGTGGCATCTTGGGGGCCTCAGCCTGCAAAAACCCTGCTTATTGGACCTCTAAATGGATGTCTGGGCGTCTTGGGGGGTTGGGGCCTCTAGGAGCTTTTAGAAGCCTGTTGGGAAGGTTTCTAGAAGCCTTTGAGGCTTCCCGCAGCGGCTCTGCCAAGGGGCCTGTGGGGGGCCTGAGGGGAGGATCGAGGGACCTAGTAAGTAGGATACTATATAACCCCATGTATGTGCTTCATAACCTTACTTAAGAACCATACTTAGCATCCAAGTGGGGGGCTTCTGGAAATCTCTAAGAGGGTTTTCTGGTGGGCCTCGTTTTTGCAGGGCTTGGTGCAGCCACAAAGCCAGCCTCAAAAACTAGGGTTGGGGATTTGGATTCTTTTTCCCACCCGCTTCGCTGACTAGGTCGCACTGCAGGGAATAAAGCTCGAGAGTCGTCTGAACGTGTTGCAAGTCCCGGGGCAAAACAACCTCTTCGTTTAGAGGACCGAGTAGGCTACGCTAGAAGAGGATGCCCGCGCCGAACTCACCTGTGCCTGCAGCTTTCCGAAGGAGTCCGCACTAGCCCGAACAAACCAGATATCCCGAGACGGACTCCAGCTCAGAAATCCGCACAATTTTGTACAAGAAAGTCGCCTGGATTGCAAAAACACACTTCTAAGACACCAGTAAACACAACAGGGATTAGAAACACGACCTAAAACCGAAGTAAGGAAAGGTGAAGTGCAATCGACGATAAGACTATCGGTGCAGGACATTGACTGCAACCATACTACTCGCCGACTGGTACATGCGAGAACATGCTACAGTTGAATTCAAACAAATCCCCTTCAGAAGACTGCATGCAAGGGTGAAAGTACAAATTACCTGTCATCAACATGCACAGCAACTCCAAATTCCGAAGTCTGAATTCTCAAATTCCTGAATTCCCTCTTGGCTCACTTGGAGAGGGTTGCAACCTGCAACTAGTGTCATTTGCTCCCTTGCGTTCTGTCTCCAGCGAAGCAGTGGTTCGCATTTGACAAAACGCGGGATCTCAAATCAGTCAGCTTCGGAGGCCTCGGTGTCTATAGAGTCGATCCAGTCCCGCTTGTTTTTTTTTGCCAGATCAGTATCTCTTCCATCGGCACACCGATCTAACTCCAGGGGCTCGATGCACTGCTTTGCTCCCAGAAACATTGAGCAGCGTCACCCAGCTGAGTGAGAGATGCGCTTGATACCGTGCTCCCGAATCAGAGGCCCAGAAAGAACAGCTGTGCTCAAAGGATCAGCTGAAGGCAGCTAATACTCCTCTCAAAGTTCAGCTGGGCCAGATATTGTCGAAAGCAGACAAGCGCAGCTAGACAGGAGTATTGTAACCCTCTCTCGGCCACTGTCCGGCCAACGTGGAGTCAACCGTCATACGCAGTCTGCAGGGATGTAGAGCCGTCTCCACCTTCGTTGGTTGACTTCACACATCTGCAGCGCCGATGGTGCAAAATGATTGTTCGAGCACCTGCATCGGCCGTGAAGAGCGGGCGGCGGCAGTTGCAGGAAGACCCAAACCCAGCAACATGAGGGTGCCGAAAGAATTCGCATCGGGATGCATGTCCAGGTGCTTCCACTGGCTGCCAGCAGATTGAGAGAGTCAGAGGCGACGCCCATGGCATCTATCTGAGGCAAGGCTCCATGGCGTCTGCGTTGACAGAGACAAAAAGGGGTGGAGGAGACAGAGAGGGAGTAAACCAGACAGCAGACCATCCCCACGTCACGGATTCATCACATGCATCTTACGCATCAAATTCATCAATTCATCAGATTCAAAGGTGAAATTCATGACTTCCGAGTAAAACGATAGCGAGAAGTAACGCAAATTAGTGAATTAACGTCATGCAGTAAAGGTCACGCACGACGACAACGGCATGCAAGCAAGTTTAAATTCCTAATTAGACGACTCCAAACTTCAAAAGCCCAGGTCCCTGTCCTAGGGCGGGCACGAGAGTCTTGCACTCTCGGGCTCGCAATCCTCATCAGAGGAAACTGTGAAGGCTTCTTTCACCTCCAAAGGCCTTTTGCAGCGGGACCTAGGTGGCTCGTCCAGCTGCGTTTGAACTCCAAGCTGCCTTAGGATTCGGTGACCGTAGAAGGTCGAGTGGCGCAGGAATGTCGCCTGTGGGTGTGCCGTGAAAGGCACGAAACCTAAAGTGGCCAGCTTCTCACAGAAAGCTGGTCCCGCCTGCTCCGACAGCTGGGGCACAAAAGCTGTCAGGATCTTACGCTCAGGCCCCGACCATTTCTCAGTCCCGTGCAAAAGTGTTCGGGACGAGAAGAGGATTGGCCGAAAGCGAATGTCATGAAACTCCCCTGGGGTACGGTCAGTGGGACAGCTACCTTGCGTCCACCCTTGAATTCTCCCTTCGGGGCACTCAATCCAAAGTCGACCTCCAGAGAAATCAGAAAGCCCAACAATCAGACTAGGGGCGAAGGAGTTACGCATGTCCCTATGGCAACCTCTACCCGGTCCTGTCCTGACTGAGACTGCAGTAAAGGGCACGTCCTCAGGAGTGTTCGCTCTCACGAACGCTGCAAGCGCCTGTGCAAACTCAGGCTCCTTCTCAGTCAGACGTGTGGTTGCGTTCGTGAGCCTGGGGGTTTGACCTACTATGAGGAAAAGGTTACGCCCCTCATCGGAGTCCCAGAATTTGCGGGGCACATAGGTCGTGAGAGTAGCAATAGCCCTGCACTGAGCTTCTAGATCTGTTTCCTGAAAGGAACTCAAGAACTGCAGCGACAAATTCTTGAGAGAGATCCTAGCATCATCTACAAAAGGATCAGTCATGACTGGGGAGCTGAAGAGCCTAAAACTTCGGGTGCAGAAAAATGCAGTTATGACAGCGGGGGGGGGGGGGCACAGCTTGTGATAGGGGCGACAGCGTTAAGTAAACAAATTGCAATATCAAACGAAAAGCAAGCTGATCACGAAGCGAGTGCCTGTCCATGGTTTTGTGAAGGTCCTAGACCGAGTAGGAGTCGGGGTGAGGGAGGGAAGCAAGGATGTAAGTAGATGGTATACCTACAATATGCAATGCAAGTGCTCGGGTCAGAACAAAAGGTATAGTCAGCTGCAGTCTACTATGACAAATGAACAAGGGGGTGCAGGACGCAGGACAGCAACTATGTTTGCGGGTCAGTGTCGCTCAAACTTATTTTACATGCAAAAAACGTTCTTGCAGAGAGACTGTCATTATGAATTAGAATGCAGGATGGAATTATACATACTGGACTTGCAGAAAGGGCCCGTTTAAAGGGCAGGAGAGCCAGCAAAACCAAAATGGAAGAGGCTCAGGCGGCAAGCCCATGCAGGGAATTCGGATTGGCGCAGCGAGCTCAGTTTTTGTCAAAAGGAACACCAACAAAAGCAAACAAAACTACAAACAAACACGAACTACAACCAAACTCAATGCTGCGGAAAAGGATTGGCTCCGAGAGCTTGCACTAGATACGCAAGGGCCTCCTGCGCTCTCGGGTCGCTGGCTAAAGGCCCGCCCCATCTCACTGGCAAAATAGCCGGCGGCAGGCTGCTGAAAAGTGAGACATTCTGTCTCGGCAGGGCTTCTCTCAAGTTCAGCACGGGTGGCTCAGGCTGTGACTGTGGTATAGGCGGCGGTTGTTCATGTGTGGCCGGTGCTGATGGTGTCGACGAGGCACCTTCTCTCTGGCCCGCCAAGGAGCCGGGCAGGGGTGGCGGCGGCGCTTTCTGAGGCATTGGCGGTGTGAGCCGACCAATGATCTTGTCGAGCTGCCCCTGCACCTTCAGCAGCACCTGCTGAACTCGCTCACTTGCATCAGCCAGGTCGCAAAGTTTGCTGTCATGGCTTTTGTGGGCATTGGTGTGATTCCACACAATGTGGGAGATTTGGTCAACATTCTGCTCCAGCTTGTCCACTTTGTCCACATGTACCAGGGGCGCAAGAGCCCCCATGACATCGCCTTTGAGCGACTGCAAAAGCGCCTGGGTCTGCTTGAGCGCTGTTAGCACAGACTGGTTGGCTGCGCCATCATTGACCTTGGCGTCCTTCACCAAGTCTCGGATCTCACCACAAACTGCCAGCGTTGCGGCCGTGCAGTCTTTGATGACCTGGGCGTGTTCCTGACTGTTGATGTCACCTTGGGCCGTGACCTCGACTTGCAGGCCATTCAGGACTCCAACAGTCGAGTCCAAGCGAGTCTGTAACTCGCTGACCATCCAGGATTGCTGGGATCCTTGGGCCAGGTCATGGATCTGTTGCACCGAATTCTGAATTTGCTTGCATAGTTTGTCTCTCTGCGACTCAGCGTGGGCCTCCAACACTTGCGGCATCTGCTTCCACAAGCGTTCTTCGAGGGCTGACACCGACAAGTCGATGTGCTGCTGCAACTTGTCCTCCAACTTTTCCAAGCGAGCAGAAACCAGAGCACCGATTTCCGCCTGCAGTGGATTCAGGAGGTCAGTGAACCCATCATTCACCGACGCCATCATGGTTTGGAAGGCACGCACCCTGTTGCGGGTCCATCGGCTGTAGGTCCAAGCCATCACTGCGATCACGATGGCCATGGTCCCCGTCCAAAGGGCGGGGGACTTCCAGCCACCTCCCACAGCGAGTTGGGCATCCAAAAGCAGAGGCACAAAGGCGTCCATTGTCGGATGCGGATAGATATGGACTACACTACTTGAGCTGGGTAAGCTGTCATAAAGGTACGAGGCTACCGTCAACGACGACAAAGGAAGAGGGGTTGGGACTGCACGAACGACGCCCTACCTCTAGCTGCGTATGGAGGCATACAGGGGGAAGGCGATCAACTGTACAGCCCTTTCGACCAGAAGCCTCAAGACATCCTCTAAATGATAAGAGCAGGCAATCCACGTCAGTCTTGCAAATGCAACTGAAACAATAACACAAGGCGAAACAGCCTCCAACTCCCCTAGCATCTTGAGTCTTGTAAGACGGCTTGTGAAACACTGCAGGAAGGTAATGGGCTGAGTAAACGACTTGATTGTAGCTTGTGTGTTAAATAAAAACGCTTCCTTCACTAACCGCACACCGAAACACGAACAACCGTAGACAAATACAAGACCGGGGGCAAAGTTGCAAGGCAGCTTTCAGTTGTGTATAGAGAAAGGTGGCTTGGATAATTCAATGACACAACACTAGGTGAACAAGACGCGGCACAGAGACTCAAAGCAACTTGACTCTGCATGTGTGAAGGCACATCAGCGCTGGGGGGCCAGGGTGCTACTGCGTATAATCGTCAGTGCTGAGACAGCAGTCGTTTTGCCAGGAAGAGCGGGCGGCGGCAGTAGCAGGAAGACCCAAACCCAGCAAAATGGGGTGCAGGGCATGCAAGATGCGACACTTTTTAATTAAGTATAAATTACAAATTCAAACATGTACATGCAGCACAGCGGGAATTCGTATTTAATCATCCAGCCACTCGAACGAGAGTGCCATCGTCCAGGGTAACCCAGTGTGCCGACCCCGATGCCGGTTCGTTGTCTTGAGGTAACGTATCGCCATCCACGGGCGGCGGCGGGGGCAGCGTCTCGTCCTCTGTGACAGTGGTTGGTCGCGCAGCCAATTCGGTGACTTGCTTGACCAAACCTGCCAGCATGTTCCGGCTGTTGTCAACGCCAGGCCCCAGACTGGTGTCCATTTGGCTGAGCATCTGAAGATTCTGCGTGAAGACCGATGTCAGTCCTCTACTCAGCTCATTAATTTTGCCGTTCCATTGAGCATGATTTTTCTCGCCACGGTGGATCAAGTCTTGGACTACGACTCGCAGCCGCTCCAAGCAGCCAGAGACTGCCCTGTGTGCGTCTCAAACAGCGCCTCCTCTTGCTTGAAGACCTCGTCCAGAACGTCGAAGATATCATTGACAGTCCCATGGAGCGAGTCGACCATGGGATCCAGCTCACGGACAGCGTCTATTAATTTACCGATGATTTTGCGAGTTTTGTTCATGTCTTGCTCGAGGGTATCCTGAATCCTCAGTAGCAGCGCCTGAGTATCACGCGCCTGCCCCCAAAGTCTGGTTCCCGTGATGGCCACTTGCTCCAGTAGCCTTTCCGGAAATATGCCAGGCTCGGAGACCACAACAGGTGCGTGAAAGCTGGCTATAGCTTGCTCAAGGTGTTGAAGTCGTCTGTCCATGCGGTCTACAAAGCGGTTGCACCAAATTAGCAGAATTCCAAAGCACATGCACATGCAGAGAATCATCGCAGTTGTAGGCTGTTCCAGCAACAAAGGAGCGAGTCCTGTTGCTATCATCTTCGCAAAGTCAGAAAAACACTCCAACCATTCCT